AAATGGGGGGGGGGGGGGCGGGGGGGGGAGGGAGACGGGAGTGCAGGGATTCCCACATTGGAGCGTGCGGACAGCGTCGAAGGATTGAGTGAGAGAGTCCGGTGGAGCGGAGGGAGGCTGAGAGCTGTTAAGCGCCAGAAGGACTAGACGGGGAGCTGCTATGAATCAGGAAGCTGAAAAGCTCCAAGGCTGCATCGAAACGATGAGAAGGAGCGGGCGTAGCGGTGACTGCTGCTGGGACAGATCCGGGAGGCCTTCTGCGCCTGGCGAGGGGAGCGGAGGACTTGCATGTCTTTTGCGGCCAGGAATCGGAGCGGATTGAAGCGGAAGGCGAGGGAGATGAATCACTAGGAGGTAGGAGGGAGGCTCGTTAAGACATCTGAGCAGAGTCTAGGTCGGAGCCTGGCAATATACCCTTGGAGTGTAACGCGGAAGAAGGAGATGAGCGGCTAGACGGGAGTTTCTCCGAGCGGGGAAAATTGAATTGTCGTCTGGATCGAAATCCGACATTGCGATTGCAGGATAGCGGCTGTGGTGAGATTTGAGGGAGTTTATAAAGTGGAAGCAGGACGCTGATTGGCCTTCATGGTGGAGTAGTTCAAAGCTGATTGGCTCGCTTCGGAGACGGATCGGCTTCTGATGATGTGAGGTAAGTCAGAGTTTCTTCAATTGAACTTTCGCTAGAGCTTCATATTAAGACAAAGTGGTGACAAATTCTTTGTGCTTCAAATTTACAGGGTTAAACTGTAACCATACAGCCCAAATGTCCATCAGATTGGTTTAAAAAATCTTCAAAGTGTCAACCGTCTCCTTTGGTTGAGAAGATATTTTCTCATTTTACTGTAGAAAAAGGGCTTTTGCAAGGTAGAGTAAGAAAATATGGTCAAAAAAAGATATAGAACTTATAAGTATACTGAAATTTAATCAAAGGTAGTTTAACAAAAAGCATTGGTTTATTGAGTGTGGATTTTATTCTATTAGATAATATTTCCTTCCATATAATTAATTTTATTTTTTTGTTGGATTGCATAGGATGAGACTCCTATTATGTCTGGAAAATTTCTAGAAATCACCACAATTTCTCCAATGTGGGACAATAAATTAATTTTCTATTCTATTCTGAAATATGAATTTGAATGAATCAAAAGAAAAGAAATATAATAATAATACTCACACTGACTACAAAATCCTCTGGCTTCAGATCAGCATCTTGGGAGCCATTCTGAGGGATGGCCTTAGCCAAATCTGCCTCCCATCCATGAATGATTTCCTTAATGACAGAAAGAATTAGCACTGTTAATACATGCCCATATCTGACCAACAATAAGCTGAAACTTAAACACTATTGCAACAAGTTTGAGCATATAAACATGTAATGAACTTTACATTTTTGATATCTTTTAAATCATTCTCCAGCTAGAATTTAACTTACGGTAATGCAGCCTAACCCCACATCCCTTGTAAGCATGCTATAAATCCAGGCATATTAATTCTCCAATAACTGAACTCAGTCATTTCCTAAAATCTAGTCCTCCACATCTGAATCACAAAATAGGATGCGTGTGTTTTATATCCAACTACAAACAGACCTGAGTGACAGTCAAGGCTTTATCTGGCCGAGTTTGCCCCAGACATTTGTAGAGGTGCCGACAGATGATTTTGTGAAGGATCAGCCTCGCTTCTGCAAGCTCCGGAGAGGAGGAGTTCAGGATCTGTTCAAACACATTATCTGCAAAGAAAACAGGAACATGGAAGATATCTAAGTAAACTAAGGAACTTAAACTAAAAAACATGTAAGATTATTTGTTAAAATTACACAAAGGTTTTACAAAGGGTAGGTTCACTTTAAGACTAGGATGTAAATTCCAGTCATCAAGCCTGATTTCACAGTTATAATAAATCTCCTCTTTATTCTGAACGTACTCTAAGATCTCAACCAAGTAAAGATACACGTACAGGGCGTGTGTTCTACAGTAAATTATTTTTCACACCAACAGTTGAGTAAAAAGTCACCATGAGTGGCAGCAAGGAGATCTGAAATGAAAAGAAAGAGCTCTATAAAAAGATAAAGGTGTTATTTCTTTATCAAATTTCTATCTTGTAGCAAGCAAAGTCCTGGAAAAGACAAAAAACAAGCAAATTAAAGAGGCTGTGGGCTGAAAGACCCAACAGTCATAACCTAAACAAAAAAAAAGGTAAAGAAAAAAGCAGCCAAGGGGAACGTCAGTGTATCCAAATGTTACGTTGCATGTAATGAGTGTAGAAATGTTCCCCATTTTTCATTATATTTCTCCATTTCATTCATCGTTTTCTCAAATGCTGCCACCTTACCCAGTTCTGAGACCCAATACTGAAACAATGGGCATCTTTCCACTCTCTCATTATCTGTTTTCCAAACATTATGTTTGTCGGGAACCAGTTAGCTATGGGTTTTACCATGTAGTTAAGATCTTTAAGACTCCCTAGTATATAGAGTCAGGGCAGAGATTACAGTCCATCCCCGCAATCTCTGAAATATACTTAAGGTACCTTTGGGCATGACCACAAGGCATGAATTAAGTCTGAAGCCCAAAATCTCCAGCAAGTGTAACAGATAGTGCCAGTCTACACAACCAAAAGCATTTTCCGCGTCAACAATTAAACTTTTAGGGACCATGTTAGAAACCTCTTGCCAGGGCTAAGAAAAGGACGGAACAGATTTTAATGGTCCAAAGTTCTTTGCGCAGAGGAAAATTTGCTTTGCGCTATATTTATCTATAAAGATCTAAGTCTGAAGAAAGAACATGAGGCCTTTGATGAAGACCTCCTTCAGAGACAGACAGCTGCATCCAAGGATTGAAGGAGATATTTTTGCAAGTCCTTCCCAGATGCTGTAAGAGTTTATAAGCATCATAGCTCCTATAAAATTATGTGTACAAACCTGATGTTAGTCACAGTTTTTCCATTTCCTGTACAAGAAATCCTGTTTTCTTTTTTATTTGTTTTTTGCACAAAAGTACCATCATATTTGCCTTTTTTTTAACCAGAGTAAGCCATTTTTAAATAACTTATATTTTTTCTTATTTTGTACATTTGCCCTCACTGAATTATCTCCTATAAATTTTTTTTGTTTTTCACCTGTGTGTAAATCTGCACAAATCCATTGGTCACTTACAGCTGGTATAAATTTCCCCACTGAAGGACATTAAAACACATATATCTATTCTTTTTCTGTTTTGCATGTTCAGCTGCAAATAAGATAAGGTGTTATAAAAGTTAGAAACAGCAAACTGTTAAACTTAAACCATATCAGAGTGATTCAGATTTATAAGGACACAACTCTAACAGATATATAGCGATTTTCTGATACCTATATCTGTATCAGAACATTATAAAACAAAACAGAAAAAAATTGTGGAGGATTTTCGTGAATTTTTTAAAAGACCCACCCGCTTCACTTTAAAAGAAAAAATGCACATGCACAACCCTGTACCCGCAACCAAAAAGGAACGCCTATTAAGCACATACCAGAGCATGCACAAGCCCATTTGTCCACGTGCACACTCTGTTTAAAAGTTACTGTTGGCGTTGCTAATAAAAGCTTACTTTCCAAAAGAAGATTTGCAATTTTTCCACTATGTCACACTCACCATTGGTAAGTGAAAATGGGGAAGAGCAGGTACAACAGCGTTACTTAAACACATCACCAGAATGAATTAAGAATTGGAAAAAGAGTATCCTTCACTATACTTTTAACTTTGCATACCAAAAAAAAAAGAAAAGGAAAAATTTGTTATTAATGCAGTGCCGTATTGCTGACATAACAGCCACATGAAATTCTAATTTTAATAAAACTTACAGGCAGAAAAAATAACACTGGCGAAGAACACCAAGATCCATTTAGCTTCAATTTAAATGGTAAAAGGCCTGTATAGCGCTAAAAGTCAGAGGACTTGACCAAAGGGCTTTACACTACATTCAATCATTCACACACTGATGGTGGCAAGCTACATTGTAGCCACAGCTGCCCTGGGGCTCACTGACAGAAGCGAGGCTGCCGTAGACGGGTGCCATCAGCCCTGTGACCACCAGAGGTAGGCAATGCAGGTGAAGTGTCTTTCCCAAGGACACAACAACACTGAAAGCCGGAGGTTGAACCGACAACCCTCCGATTGCAGGGCAAACTCGCCACTGTCGCCTCAGTGGCGTAGGAGGAATTTAAGAACGCGATTCTGAATTCCAACTCTGATAACATCCAGGTGATAACGCACATATATATATATATATATATATATATATATATATATATATATATATATATATATATATATATATATATAAAAGTGTGTGTTTATAGTGGCTGAGACGTTATATTAATGTTATATTAACTATATATAAAAGAGTTTTTACTGACCCGTTAACTTGGTGTAGGCCACCATGTCATCGATCGCTGTGGACAGAGTGAAGATTTTTCCCTGAGAGCCCGCGATCTTGATGTGTGGGTCTGCTTTTAAAAAAGCTTCTGTTATCCTGTGGAGAAAGCTCACAACTATCAGGACTTTCTAAAACAAAAACAAAAAAGCAAACAGCAAGTGAGCCACCAAAAATATAAAAGGTAATGCCTTACATTGTTTCAATGACGTTGCCCACTTTGTGCTGGTAAGCTCTCCTGTGGAGACAGTTCCTAGTGTGGAACATGTCGTACAGATTGCCTACCTCCTGTTCAAAAACATATCCTGAATGTCAGTGAATAGGTTTTATATTTTCTGATATGAAATAGAGAAACCAAAGAAAACACCTTGTCTCTTGTGCAGATGTGCTTCTGCCCGTCCACTTCAATGACCCTTGCAAATTTTAGAAAGCGCTGATAGTCAAAGTTGTTCTGGATGCCCAAATGGTAGCAGTCCCTGAGGGAAAGATGGAATAATGAAAACAGTGGTTTCATGTCACAACAAGAAAATGTATGTATATTTTAGGTGTTAATTTAACGTTTAAACAATTCAAACAATGCACCACCTGGCAAAATAATCCCACTTATCCACGTCAATGCCGTTCCTTTTGTTTGCAACAATCTCATAGAGGAAGGACTTGTCTTTAGTACGGCCTTTGTATGGCCACTATGGAGACAAAACAAGAAGATGTGTTTATGAATTAGGCGTAGTCATTTACTGTAGAGTTCATTGCTTTTAAACAAGTACCGTATTTTCACGACTATAAGGCGCACTTAAACGTCTTTTTTCCCCTTAAAATGTGCGGTGCGCCCTATGGTGCGGTGCGCCCTATGTGTGTTGTAACTGCGACTTTTGAGACCACCTCATTGAGGAGATGATGAAAGAGTGGCTGAATGTAAGGAGACCAGGTGTTTTTTTTCCACTCATCACCATCGCTGTTAATATGTAACTCCATGCGTGCCCATCTCACAGCTGATGTGAAAAACATGGGGAAACAAATTAACCCTGTGCTCGCTGTTCAACCGCTCAACATCGGTGTGAACCGGACCCAGCAGGTGCAGCAGAAGCAGCGAGTTTACATGCAAAGTCAATGGTTGACGCGCGTATAGACGCAGCAAAAGGTCCCGCAGCACGTTTTGAGCAGCAGGTGCAGCAGGTCGGGAAGCGTTTTAGCATCTGACGCACCGCCAACGCGCTGCTGCTGCTCGAGATGGAAAAATTTAAGTTTTGCTGCTGGACGCGCCGCATCAACCAATCAGAGAAGCTGATCTGGGAGCTGACAGCGAGACAGACACAGAGCTCTGATGACATATGATATTAAATGAAAAAGGCTGGATAGATGAGGAGATGATGAAAGCGTGGCTGAGGGAGGTGTAGCCTATGTGAGGAGACCAGGTGTTTTTTTCCACTCATCACCATCGCTGCGTGCCCATCTCACAGCCGATGTGAAAAAAAAGGTGAATCAAATGAACGCTGTGCTCGCCGTTATCCCGGGGGGTCTGACAAAGGAACTTCAACCGCCCAACATCGGTGTGAACCGTTCAAAGTAAGGCTGCGAGCGGCGTGGAAGCGATGGATGGCCGACAGAGACCACAGTTTCAGGATAAGTGGAAGGCAGCGCCGGGCAAGTTACGCCACCGTTTGCGGATGGATTGTAGATGCTTGGAATAACGTGTCTGCTGGCTCTGTTCTTCAAGCTTTTGCAAAAGCCGGCATTATTTCTGAGGAGCCGCGCTGCACGGAAAGTGACTCTGACAGCGAAGAAGGGGAAATTGGCATGTCTGATTTAGCGCAGCTGTTTAATTCAGAAACAGAGGATGATGACTTTGATGGGTTTGATTACTACTTTGTAATAAATACATGAATAAAGCACAATCATACTCAGTTTTGCTCCCGCTCTATTTTTCTACCTGAAAACTTAATTCAACAGCAGCCTCTGGGCGCGTCTCCTCTTCACCGCGGTGGCTGGCAGGTGTTTTTTCATCTAAATAATCTAAATCTTGCAGCTATATTTGCTGTGATCAGTGGGAATAAAGTAGTTTTAATATGTTTTTAAGTGAGAAAGTCCACCTGAAAATTTCATAATTGCAGTCAGTTCATCCAGATTATCTATTTCTGTCGGAGCCGCTCAGACCCCCACATACCAGCGGTGCACCGACAGTAGAAATCCTTTCGTTCACCTCGGCTGCTGGCAGGTGTTTTTCATCTAAATAATATAAACTGCAGGCACCAGGATACCGGCAATAAAAGCGAACATATTCCGTCGGCAGGTTTCAGGATTTTAAGTTAATTTAGGAGTGATCACAGCGCTGTGTCATCTGCGATGTGTCTGTCTCACGGCCAGCTGCCAGGTTTGATTAATACTTTGTAATAAATACATGAATAAAGCACAATCATACTCAGTTTTGCCCCCGCTCTATTTTTAAATACGCAGTAGAGGTATTTAAAGGTAGTAGAGGACATGTACCTGTATATAAAAAACGCGCCCTATAGTCCGGTGTGCCTTATGTGTGTGTTAAATACAGAAATGGGACACATAACTGAGAGTGCGCCTTTTAGTACGGTGCGCCTTATGGTCGTGAAAATACGGTAGTTCATACTCCACAAAAATCCAGACCAGAGAATCCAGTGCTGCAAGTTTTAGTTTGTTGAAAGAAAAAATTTTTTTTTTTTTTTTAACAGTTTCCTGTCCGGCAATGTGACAATAAGAATATTTGTCTTGATGCCAAAAAGGGCCCAACAGATTTTGCTTTCACAAAGGGAGCAGTAATGCTATTGCAATAGTGTTCTGCTTGATTTATGCATTAAGCTTTATTATATTATGCAGAGAGTATTACAGATTATATGGACACTGCAATATAAGTAGAACACGAAAGGAAAACAGGAAAAAGGAAAAAAGAAGAAAGAAAGAGGAGAAAGAAGAGAGACAACGATAAAACGTCTTCAGTCTGCTTCATCACCTGCTTAGAGTTGTAAAAACAACACAACCAACCAAAATAGTATAAAAGATACACTAAAGAAGCACCTTGATACTATTGCTGAAGTATAAGTAGAATGATTTAATCTGACATGTATACTGTGGTAGCTGAAGCTTAGAATATGGGCTTTCCGTATGGAAGTGAATCTCTAAGTACCTGGAACCAAGCAGCTGTGGTTGTCTGGATAAACTTTACATGCACAAGTGCACTCTCACAAAGCTAAAATGCTCAAAAGTGGTTGTGAAAAGCCAAAGACCCGCCCCCCCCAGAGCACCGAGGCAAGCGCCACGGGTCCCAAAACCCCAGACACCCAAAGGGATCCCCAGACCAAAGGCACCCAGGAGGGGCCAACCCAGGAAATCCGCCCCTCCAAGGGAAGAGGAGAGACCAGATGAAATCCACCAGCCACCGCAATGCAAGAGCCCCCAGGAGCAGCAGGGACAAGTCCACGGGCTCCGCCGGCAGCCAGCCACCCCGAATAGGCATGAATAACCTAACTCCAAAGAAACTACATAAAAGCAGTCTAAAAATGGGGGAGTTATTAATTTTGGGGAGTGGCAGCCTAGTGGTTAGGGCATTGCGCTTGGAATCCAGAGGTTCTGAGTGCGAGCCCCACTCCCTCTGCCACTCTGGGTCCCTGAGCAAGACCTTTAACCCCCCACACTGCTCCAAGGGCGCCACACATTGGCAGCCCACTGCTCCCCAAGGGGATGAAATAAATGCAGAGTTCATTTCATTGCTTTGTACCTGTGACAATGACAATAAAGCTGATTCTTCTATTCTAGTGATAAATACTGCAAAATATGCAACTCACACCAATAGACTATGGGTGGATGATTGATTTGCATCTTTCTTGAAATGTTCTTAGGACGAGTCATCTCCAGGTGGTTAAAAATATTTGCATTCTAAATACTGGTTTCTCTAGAGTGAGTCACCAGAGTCGACTCTGGTGTCGAAATGTTTGGAGATAATCTGAGCAAAAGTCTGGTTTCCTGAAAACATAAGCCTGTTTTCTTGTTGCTGTAACCTGGATGACTGAGAAGTTTCACAGTAATAACAAAAAAAACTGAAATGAAATTAATTTTAATCATAAATAAGAGGATAATGCAAGACTCTGCACTACATGGGTAGCCAGGAAGCCATTCAAACCCTTAATTATACCCTGAACTACAGTTAAAGAGTAATATAAATGTTGACCCAACGGCAAAAGTAGTTGCAGCAGTTGGACACCTTTTGTACTTTTCTATATATAGATATTCCTAAAATGGCGACAACTCAAAGTTTTTGCCTTTTACTATGAGGTACTTTCTGACATGAAAATATATCACAAATATGGAGTGAACCTTTCATTCATACTTGACAATCCTCAGAACTCAAAGAAAACCCATAACATAATTTTTTATATATATATATATATAAAGATAACCCTAACATAAATCTCCCCCCTTTTGTTTTATTTTAATGCTGAAAAATATTGGATACTTTTTGTATTGAAGAAATTGTTAAATTGTGAAAAGAAACACTTGGTAGAAAAAAGAAAGTGTTAAAAAAGAATTTGGATTTTTATTTAGGAAAAAACAAGATTTAAGCTTTAAGATTTAAGATTTAAGATTTAATCTAGGAAAACGTTTAGTTACCACTGGTTTTTACCACTGCACTTTAAAAAAGGCATGCAACCAAAAAACTAAACCCATTACCTTATGTATGACTGAGTTTTTATGGTATAACTACATATACACCACTAAGGTGAATGGTAGTAGATCATGTGGTGCCATCTACTGGTCATTTATTGCAAGTGCAACTAAATGTTTAATCCAAGATAGGAGATAATGCAACATTTAGAACAGCTAAAGATTTTGTAAATATTTCTAATGTAAAAAAACTGTTAGGTTAAAAAAAACAACAGATATTCATAGTTTTAGCCTGGCTCTCGTCCCAGAATATGCACCACCTGACAAGTATTTTAGAGTTAAATAAACTGTTTTATTTTAGTACTTGACTTGAAGATCTTATTAGGAAAAAACACATTTTTAGCATTATTTAAGCAACAATTAAGTGTTTTTAACTTATATTGCACAGCTGTGAGACAGTGGACCACTGAACCCACTCACATCAACAAGAGTGTATTGCTGCAGCGTACAGACCTGCTTTGTTATAGCTCTCATCTCATAGTGCTCATCTGGTGAACTTTAGCATCGCTCTCCCGTGCCCTAACCTTTCAAAGCACCTTAACTTGCATTTTCTGGTGATCAAATGTCTGCTTTTTAATTATTTCTGTACTACTTTAACATGTAGCTAGTTACAATGAAAAGAAATAGAAAGAGAAATTTTCAAGAGATTTTTTAAAGAGATTACTTAAAAACTTGGTTAAGTGAGTCTGATGAATTTAGGATTAGTACATAGCAGAGTGGTAAGGATAATAAACAACAAAGTATGGTTTAACATTGAACATCTTATCACCAAAAAGGACAAGTGATGATAGTGATGTTTTAGGGGAGTGGCGGCCTAGTGGTCAGGGCATAGAGCTTGGAATCCTGAGGTTCTGAGTTTGATCCCCCACTCCCACAGATTGCCACTCTGGGTCCATGAGCAAAGCCCCTTAACCCAGGGGTCAGCAACCTGCGGCTCCGGAGCCACATGTAGTTCTTTAGCTTCTCCCTTGCGGCTTTTTCAAAAATGTATGACAATCAAATTTTTTTTGTTTTTTCCTTTGTTTGTTTTAATATGGTATGCAGGAGGTCAAAAATTTATTATGTTTTCCAATGCTGTAAACATTTGTATAATAAATAGCCATAGAGATCAGTGGACATAACTTGCAATCAGCGCGGTGCGGTGCCAGGAAATCAAAGCGGAGTGCAAAGATAGATTTAAGAAGTGGATTGCATCTCCAAACACCACTATTGCTGCTAGTTTGGTTGCAAGGATGGAAAACGGTCCACGGATCAAACAGATAGCGCTCTGATGAAGGCATGTGAACTTTCTTCCATTTTTTCCCCAAATCCTAAAAATATAAAAAACACCAAGGAATGCTGGGGAGGGAGGATGAGGGATTTCAGGGTTAGAGAGCTTTGCTATGATGGATGTCAGTTCCTGCTTGGTTCCTCATGAATCAATCAAATCCTCTCAAAGAGAAACACACCCACCATAGAAATATTCCTTTATTGTGTTTCTATAATTTCATCAATGCTCTTTGAGCAGTTTGGGTTGCCGACCCCTGCTTTAACCTCACAATGCTCCCCAAGGGGATGGGTTAAATGTAGAGGTAACTTTCTTCAGTGTGAGATCAGTATAGTTCAATAAAAAAAAAATAGACGTGAAGCTTTATTTTGAAAGATAACTGCAGCCATGAGGAAAGTGCTAAGTTACAGTAGGTCTCCAGTCATAAATTCCTCGACTTAAGTGGAAGCTAACAGAAGTGAAGATGACTAGCTGTCAGAAAAAAACCCAGCAAATAGTAGCAAAAGTGTTAGTGAATAATGATGATGAACTAATGATTACTTTGGGAAATCAAGATGGTGATGTAACAGCCAAAGATGCACCATTCAACAGAAATTTTGGAAAATAAAATCACTCTGGCTAAAGTTATCATTCATACATGGAAGGCATAGAGTCCTGCAGTGTGCTTCAGTTTTAGTTTAGACACGGTTTACCTTTTCTCCTCGCGCCAAACTGCTCTCCATCGGACCTGCGATCTGCTCCTTGATGAAGTCCAGGTCCTCTGGGAGCACCAGTCCGTGCTCCTCCATGACTGGCTTTAAGCCGTTGTCTTCCACAAGGTAGTCAAACATTTTCAAAGAGGCGGCCTCGTGCTGCAAGAGGCAGAAACAGACAGAGCAGGACAAAAATCAGCCTAAAATGACAGTCTTAAAACCTCTGAGTGAGACAGGAAGAGCTCAATGGTTACATTGGTTGCAACAGGATTATTTAAACTCTAGTTTTAATTCATATTTGGGAGGTTGCAGGTTACATAATGGATTGAGTTAAGTAGATCTAATTACTTTTCTTTATCAGTCTAAGCCCTGAACTGTGTCGTTATCACATCTATTGAGCTCACCACAGAAGCTCTGGCTGGCCTGCAGAGATTTTTTACCCTCAATAAAATCCTTCTGTAAACAGAAACTTTAGATGTAAACATTCACAAAGCAGTCAGGGTCCAATGGACAGAGCTTTCTTTTTTATTTATCTGTTTTAAAGTATTTAGTCTGTGGTAAACTGCCCTACACTGTGCTGAATGAGTCCTTTTCTCCCAGGCTAAAAATCAAAACTAACCATCAAGGTATTATTTAGAAATAAGTTTCTTTGTGGAATGAATTGAAACTACAAATTTATAAGAATTTAGGATGTTAAAAGCTCAAACATTAGATTGAAACAGAACCCCTCCCAAAAACACAGTTGTCTTTTTACTAGTTTTTCCATTCATGCTTATCTTTATTCTAAAGAACCCTCTTTGCAGGTCTGAATGAGTTCATTGTGGTTTTGTTTTTCATATTTGCCTAATTAATTGGTTTTGACTAACAAACGTTGGAAGCTTTTATCAAACAGAAATCAGAAACAACACTGAATGTATTGGTGCACCAGAACAGGTCCAACAGGAAAAGAACAAGACAGTCTTACTTTCCAGTTAAGTCCTGGGCGTGCTTTGGGGATAAACATGCCGTCAAACATATGGGAGAAAGGTCCGTGTCCTGAAAGGAGAACAAGAGCAGCGTTGGGCTTAAAGGTCATTTCAGTCCACAATAAAAAAATGATTCACAATGTGGAAAATTATCATTCATATTTACACTTCTATTCACTCAGACACTGATACTTAACCTTTATGAATATAATTGTAGATGACTAGCATCAAACCTAAAGCAATTGTCTTAGTTTTGGACATATAGGTTTATACACCAAACTCAGCTACTTGTTTATTTCCTTTAAGAGGCCTTAAGTCTCCTGAGATAAGAGGATAATTTAATATTGCTCTACACACTGAGGGCATTTATAATTGCATTAATTTAAAGAAATTGCTTCTGACACAAATTAATCCCTTGATTGACCAATAAAAGAGACCTGGTGGAACAGCTTTGTTATTCTAGGTCATTTGAATTGGAAAGATGCAGTTAAATTACTTCCTTTCTCCATCAGAAAAAAATTATCTATGTTCAGTTAAACCGGTGAAAACAATACAATGCCAGAAGGCTGCTAGTTTTATGACAGATGTTGTGAAGCTATGTGCACAAAGCAACACTGACCCAGGTCATGGCACAGTCCAGCAATTTCCACACAAAGAATGTCCCTGCGAGAGATGAGGAGCTCTGGTTGCCTGTCATTGAGAGCTTGAGCAAGTCGTCCAGCCAAGTACCCGACCCTACAGCAAAAGAAAAAAACACAACAAGACAAAATTAATTAAGGTGTCCTAAGAGAACAGCAACTTTTATACTGCTGGGCCAGCTCCACAGCATTCTAATGTTATTCTCGGTCAAAATAGTGTGTTGTTATAGTTTTACAATATTTTATTTTAGATGTGATGTAATAGATCCCCTACTTGAACCGCCAGCTTAACCTGGTGGAGGGGCCTGAGCTTGTGCAGGAGGTGAAGCAATACCAGCTAGAAATACATGGCCTGGACTTCAAACATTGCCTGGGTTCTGGAACCCAGATCCTTGAGAGAGACTCTTCTACTCTGCAGTGGCTCCAGGGGGAGCTGAGGGCTGGGGTGGGTGTGATTGCCTCCCCCCGGCTCAGCCGCTTCATGTTGGACTTAAACCTGATTGACAAGAAGGTCGCATAGCTCTCCTCCCGGGGATTCCAAAATCCTACTGGGAGACTTCAACAACGACAAAACAACAGTGATACCTGGAGGGTTAAGGCAGGTGGCTCAACTACATGTAAAGTCTATCTATGGGTGTAATATTTTATTATGTGAGATGCAGCAGTTCGGTGAAGGTTTCAGTGTAGGGCTGCAACTAATGATTATTTTGAATATGGATTAATCTCTCAATAATTTTTTTAATTAATCAATTCATAATTAGATAGCAAAAGATTCCATAAAGAAGACTTTCTGCGAAATTAAACCAAGGGAAAATAAGGCTTTACCATTTGAGAAGTTCTGGATAGAGCATTTTGACAGACAGAGAAGATCCTTATCTTAAATGCTAAATGTTCACATATTTTATTTTAAAATTTTGGTATAATTGCTAGTCAAGATAGATTGCTTTGTCGGCTAAATGCATACTTAAGAGTCTCTATACTCCTGTGGTAAATTCAATTGGAATGTATGGGAGGGACTTCTTATGTAAAAAGAATGGGGGAAATCTGATAGACAGAAAGCAGTGCATAGGGGAGGCAGCATCAGCAAAAAGTGAAACTAAAAATGATGTGACTGAACAAAAATGCATATAACCAAATTTAAACTTATTTCAGTTAACATTTTGAAAAAATATTTTCCTTTTAACCCAACTATGGACTACTTAGCACTGGTTTATCACCTACAGTCCAGATTAAATACTCAGAGGTATTAATATGTTTGCAAGACACTGAGTAAACCTCTTTCTCCTGAATCCATGACTTAATTAGATGCAATAAAACCAAGATATTTACCCAATGCTGTGTTCAAAGCGGTTATGGGACGCGCCTGGAAAAACATAATATGTGCCTCCAAGTTGCTTGATGTTTCGAAGTCGCTGAAACTGAGGAGTGTCAATGATTTTGATGAGAAGCGGGTGTAGCTCCACATGGCCGTGAATGGGATCATTAAAAACCTGACAAACAGAAAAAAAAAATATCAACACATAAAAGGGTTTCAAATGACAAACCAAGAAACTGCTGAACATATTAGTTTATGCAAAATGGATTAAAAATATAGAGCCCAAATCTTATAGGAGCTCTTTTAGCATGTATAATACTTGAAATAATTGATAATAATTTTATTTTTATTTTTTATCTCACATTGGAGAAATTTACACCTGCATTTAACTCATCACCTTGGGAAGCAGTGGGCGGCCATTGTGCGGCGCCCTCGGATCAGTGTGGAGTTAAGGGTCTTTGCTCAGGGACCCAGAGTGGCAGTCTGTGGGAGTTGGGCTCAAACTCAGAACCTTAGATTATAAGCTCTATGTCCTAACCACTAGGCCGCCACTCACCTTAAGAATGACGTGGTAGCATTATAATTAAAATGTAAACATGAAACCAGCAGTATAATTAATGGTAGGGTTCAGCATGGGAGATGGGAGGAATCTATTTTTCTGTGTTGTACCACATGATCTTCTTTATCATATGCTTTTGTCTGTGGGAAATGAGAACCAAAATGAGAAGGTTGTTCTTCATTCCTGTCCACATGCCCCTGCTTCCAGTTTGCCCAGTCTTATCTAAAAAGCCTTGACAGCAATGGCTTAACGACACAACAATAGGCCTCTAAGCAACATTATCTGGGTGGGCCCCATATGAAGTACAACACCCCATATCCCCCACCCCCCCCCCCCCCCATCGCCATAGACAACCGACCTAAAATGTGCCCCATAAATACACACTTCACCATTTAATCATTCTTCACCTTCACTAGACATGGATATACTTTATTACATTCAGCTGTAAAATGAGTATTATCGGGTAATTACACAGCTCACTCCTCACCCACCCTCCTTCATTCATCTCCTGTATAGACTGTATATGAGCTGAGCAGCTCCTTTATTTAAAGACTTATAGACCCCATTTGCAAAAGGAGCACTACCCCAGGTCATTCATCCCTGCTGCCATCAGAATCAGAAATACTTTAATAATCCCAGAGGGAAATTACTTTAGTTACACGCTCCAGTTACATATATATATATATATATACATAACCAAAATATATATATATATATACATAAACAACCACACAAAGTGTGTTCACCACAAAGGTGAACACACTTTTAATCCCTTTTAATTGTTTGTCTACAGTACAAAGCAGTCAATGCCCATCTTGCTAGAACACCTATGGCCTCTGTTGATGCAGCCATAATCACACAAAGAAAACATGGTCAAAGAAAACATTTTTTCTGCTATTAGTATTATTTCTTTTCAGTGTTTTTCTTCAGGGAGATGTTTTCTTTGACCATGCAAACTTATGTAAACATACTTTCAACTTAAAAATAGCAATAACAAAATTAATAAATCCATCAACCAACTTATCAATGAATTGATAGATATGGACTGTAGCCAATTAAGGTTTTTTTTTTTTTTGCTACATTCAAAGACACTTAGTAACTGAGAGCTTTCAATTTATTGGAATTAAAGTATACAGGGATAAAGTTATTAATATATAGATAGTAATGCTATTTATGCTTCTTCCCCTTTTTTGTCTTTTTTTTAACCCTCGTGTTTCATAGTCTGTTTACAAACCAAATGCAAAATGGCTTTTTGGTATTTTCCATTCTAGCATTAAAATCATGTTTGTTTTAAATATTATATAGCTTTTTAAGGCCCTGTGTTTTTGATACCACACGCAGATGTGTTGTTATAATTATGGCATCAAATGGGTGGAGTATTTGCGTGACATCTGATCGTCAAATTTTCAAAGAACTACATCTTTTTTTTGTTTTGTTTTTTTTTGTGTGTTTTTTGACCCGCCCCTGTTGCGTCACGCAGAGGAAGATACGTCAGAAAATATTAGGAAGCGGTGGTGGCCACTATCATACCGCAAGACCAGAAAACATATACTGTGTGTATATATATATATATATATGTTTATTTATTTATTTTGATTAGCATTTCCTTTTTTATTTAATACATTTCAGTTTCATCGTTACAGGAGGATTCAGTACTAACTGCAGTTTGTTGTAAACAAATATGCAAGATAACTCAGACAAACCAATTCTGAATTCTAAATTGGTTTAAATTTTTTTTGGAACAGTGGGCCAGTTTACCAAGGGTCCATATAGTCCTAAATCTATCCGGATAACCAAGAATCCCCCAAGATATAAATGAAAATAAAGGTATCAATGAAAGAAAAAAGAACAAGCAGTGTAAATTTAAAAAATCTAAAATGGGATAGATAAATAGGCACAAAATGGTTCCTTAAAACAAGTCAATTATAACACCAGACCAGGCTAATTGGAAAAGAAAAATGAAGGAACTTAAGGAGCCATCATAGGAGGAAAAACCCCTGCATGGGATGTACCACTGACAGATAGCTGAAGTGGCTGATATGAGCAAATCCTGCCGGTGACTAGAGAGGGCTGCCCTGAAGGACAACACAGAGGCACTGACCATGGCAGCACAGGGGCAGGCCTTGAGCAATAGATCAATAGAGGCCCAGTGCAGAACCCTCAAGGTCCCAGGGCTCTGGTAGAGGATCTGAGCTCAAGATAGAGGATCCAACTACCTCGCCCAGACTACGCGGGGAGACAGTTTTTTCTAAAATATTTTTTATATAAATATAGCAAGAAATATGTATCTGCTCAAGATAATGAGACGACTAAACACAGAAAAGAGAAAGAAAAAAATAAGACACTATAAATGCATTATGCTTAATGCTTAGTTTTTCTTGCTAAATTACCTTTTCTTGAAATTATTAAATATCAATGGTAATTCATATTAATTTGGGAAATTTGTATATTTAGCTGTTGTGGTTATTTTGTTATCATTTTCATTACTTCTTTGGGTTAAGGATGCATATGTGTCACTTTTTAAGGATGATGGGTTTCTGACCTCTGTCGCCCTTATTTTTTGTATGTATGTTTGGCACCCCTTTATCCTATCTACTCACTAAAACACTTTTAAATGCAATAACGTCTCCGTGGATTTCTTGGACGAATCATCTGGACAACTTGTCTTTGGATATATTAAGGGTGCGGGCTTTGCTTATTTTTTAACCCTACAATATAGTTACAGTAATCTTTTTCTATCCTGACATGAACACTATGAAGAGAAAATAGTGTAAGAAAAGGTGCTCACTATGTCCTCCTGCTGCCATTAAGTCTAAAGAGGAAGAGGTATCTGAAGATAATCTAAATCATGATAACTTTAACACATCTTACAACAATTTCATAAAAAACATTTTTCTTTCATTCTAACGTGTGGTCATTTATTCTGAAAGGCACAACCGGAAACAAGCCGACGTGTTTCTCTGACGTAACAGGTCCCGGCGAAAACACAAAACCCCGGGTATTTTTCAGCTCGTCGCCGATTTCTGCGCCGGATCAGCAGTTTCTCTGCGAGTTCGGAGAATCTGCCTCTGACCGGTTCAGATCTTTATTCAGAAAATCACCTAAAGGCCTGTTACTGCGGTTAACATGGAGAATCGTAAGCGACCCGCAGAGCCATCCGTGAGCCCGGGCGACAAGTTCCACACGCCGCAGAAGAGAGTGTCGCTGGTTCCCGTCTGGCAGCCGGATTCTGACTTCATGCGGTGGGGAATCGGAGAAACATGTCAGTACCTGCAAAGGGAAGGACTCGGAAAATGGGAGGAAATATTCAGAGGTTTGCTCTCACTTCAATCCGCTCTCCACAAAATGTGACCTATGTAGAACTTAGATGTTTGTTATGCAGCTCATTAAAGTCTTTTTGCGTTCTTTTGCTTTGTTTTCATGCAGCTGAGAAGATTACAGGTGTGGGGCTGAGGTACCTGAGGGATGCAGACCTGGAAAAGATTGGCATAAAGTAAGAAAAGACTACTGATAAAATAGCGTGGCATCATTGATGAGTGGAAATGTGTCAAGCACTTCCTCCTCTGCCTCCACATGGAGGCGTTGGCTCTCAGAGACCTCTTAACATCTGATTGTTCCCTTCAGGTGTCTCGGGGACCGTCTGCAGATCCTGCACAGCCTCAGAAAACTATGGCAGATTGAAGCAGAGGCCAAAAAGGTAAAAACAAATTCCCTCAGAGAGACTGTCAAGCAATGGCGTGACACCTGGTAGCCCCCACGAAAATGTGGATTAGGACATCTCTCTGCAGATATAATGGTGCGAAAATTTCCTCTTAAATCCACCTGATACTAGTTTGACTAACCGGACTATATTTATACCCCAACACATGATAGATTTCTTTTTTTTTTTTTTTTTTTTTTTTTATAGTGTCCTGTCTGGCAATGTGCCAATAAGAATAATTGTCTTGATGCCAAAAAGAGCCCAACAGATTTTACTTTCACAAGTGTAGCTTGTTTCATGCATATAAATTGCTTTATTATAATTATGCAGGGAGTTTTACAGTTTATATGGACAGACACTGCAATGTAAATAGAGCAGAAAAACAGAAGAAGAAAAGGAAAAAAGTGAAAAAAAGAGAAGATGAAAGAAAGAAGAGATAGAAAAGAGATAATGACAAAACATTTTCAGTCTGCTTCATCACCTGTAACGAGATGAAAAAAGACCAGCACAACCGAAAGACATGGTACGAGATATACAATAAAGCAACACCTTCAAACTATCACTAAAGTAATGTTATTAAGTCTGACATGTACTCTGTGTTACCTGAAGATATGAATGTGGGGTTTCTGTATGGAAGTGAATCTCTGAGTACCTAGAGCCAAGCACCTGTAATTGTTTGTGAGGGTGAACTCGTGCATGTAAAGTTTATCCATAGAAAAAAATGCTCAATAGTGGTTGTGGAGAGCTGGAGAGGCACACCCCCCAGAGCACTGAGTCCAACGCCGGGAGACCCAAAGCCCCAGGCGCCCAAAGGGACACCAAGGAGGGGCCAGCCCCGGAAATCAGACCCCCACCAAGGGAGGAGGAGAGACAGCCCCGCGGGCTCCGCCGGCAGCCGGCCACCCTGAAGTAGGGCCGGGCACCGAACACCAGCCCCCCCACGGCACCGACCGAAACGCTCCGGCCCCACAGAGCACTGAAACACGCCCCGCCCCCCGGCACCAAGCCCATGTCGACCGGCCGCAACACCCAAAGCGACCGCACCATCCAGGAAAAACACACAGGCGGCCCCGTCCACAGCCGGGGCCCACGCGCATCCGCCGCGAACCGGCCGCGGAACACCCCCAAAATGGCCCCCAGTCCAAAAGCGCAGCCCCACCCCACCAAGACTGATGCCAACAGCGCGCAACGCAACACACCGTGCACAGAACTATCCTAAGAGCAGAAAAGCCGCCCGGTGCCCGACCGCAAGAAGAGCAGACCGGAGCCGGCGCATTCACTCCCCCAGCAGTCCGCAGGCAGCACAAAGCCAGAGCGGAGCGAACCACGCTGCTCCCCCACCGGACGAAGCCAGAGCAGCACAGACGCGTCCGCCATACCGCCCTCTCAAACAACTCGCATCTTTGTCAGTGAAGCCGAATGCTCCCACATTTCTTCCTTTATGGTGCCCATCTACATTAAGGTCCAAAATTCTAAGATTAAAGTCAGAATTCTGAGAAAAAAATTCAGAACTCTGAGATTAAAGTCAGAATTCTGAGAAAAAAGACAGAATTCTGACTTTTTTCCCATATTAAACTGAAATAAAATTTAAAAATATTTTTTTTCCCAGTGGCCTTAATCCTCTTCTGTATATGGGCAACAAGTTGAAGGCACAAACTAAACTGTTCATAATTTATCATTTATGGTACGCTAGCGTTCATAACATGTAGGCGAATCACTGTCCCTCAGATATCTGCGGTTATATTTTTTTTATTTAAATTTTTAAGAAAAATGAAGCTGCGCGGATATGACATCATCGCCCGCGCCGGCTACTATTCATTCAGCCTGTCAGCTGAACTGCTGCTAGTTTTACTCACATGCCTGGAAGATGTCTAGTGCTACTACCACAGATGGTCTTGCTCTCTAATGGAATTGAACGATTCAGATTAGCTAGCCGAATGAATAGAAGGGGTAGAGCGTAGCCGCCTGTGGCCCGGGCTGCCTGTCACAACTCCAGTCTGATGCGTGGATGACGTCATACATGTGGCACCTTGTTTTAAAAAATATAAATATAAAAAATATAACCGCGGATGTCTGGGGGACAGTGATTCGCCTACATGTTATGAATGCTTGTGTACCATTAATGATAAATTATGAACAGTTTAGTTTATGCCTTCAAGTCGTTGCCCATAGGAAGACTATTACTTACTTAATATAACCTAACAGAATATCTTCAGAACAGCTCCAAATGACACAACACTCATATGGGTGAGTAGAACATGAGGTAATAACGTAAAATCAAGGGGCCAATGTAAAAACAAAAACAAAGAGGGAGAGGTGGACGTTGCTGCTACAGTGAGGAAAGATTGCGACCAGGAGATGAATGGAGCAGGGTGGGTGAGGAGGGAGCTGTGTAACTCAAGGTTGCCTGATAATACTCATTTTACAGATGAATATAATAAAGTATATCCATGTTTAGTGAAGGTGAAGAATGATTAAATGGTGAAGTGTGTATTTATGGGGCACATTTTAGGTCGGTTGTCTACGGCGGTGGGAGATATGGGGTGTTGTACTTCATATGGGGCCCACCCAGATAATGTTGCTTAGAGGCCTATTGTTGTGTCGTTAAGCCATTGCTGTCAAGGCTTTTAAGATAACACTGGGCAAACTGAAGGCAGGGGCATGTGGACAGGAAGGAAGAACAACCTTCTCATTTTGGTTCTCAAGCCCCACAGACAAAAACATCTGATAAAGAAGATCATGTGGTACAATACAGAAAAATATACCCCATTTACACTACCCTTGGAAAAACCAATCCATGCTGAGACCGGTCCGAGCTCAGATCAGTTAACCAGGCCGAGCTTGGTTCTGACGACCGACCGTTTACACATCACGCTATCTGGTTTCCTCGCCTCCTAGTGACGATCTGCGGTATTTACTGCCAGTATTGAAGGAGGAAATCAAGCAGTTGGTGCCGGATATGCACCAAAAGTTGTTTGCCACCCGCACGGTTTTTCAAGGGTAGTGTAAATGGGGTATTAGATTCCTCCCATCTCCCAGGCTGGACCCTACCATTAATAATACTGCTGGTTTCATATTTACATTTTAATTATAATGCTACCACGTCGTTGTTAAGGTGATTGGCGGCCTAGTGGTTAGGACATAGAGCTTTGAATCTGTGGTTCTGAGTTTGAGCCCCACTCCAACAGACTGCCACTCTGGGTCCCTGAGCAAAGACCCTTAATCCCACACTGCTCCCCGGGCGCCGCACAATGGCCGCCCACTGCTCCCTAAGGGGATGGGTTAAATGCAGGTGTAAATTTCTCCAATGTGAGATTAAAAAAATATATATTATCAATTATTTCAAGTATTATATATGCTAAAAGAGGTCCTATAAGATTTGGGCTCTATATTTTTAATCAATTTTGCAAATGTTTTCAAACATAAACTAATATGTTCAGCAGTTTCTTGGTTTGTCATTTTAAACCCTTTTATGTGTTGATCATTTTTTTTTCTGTTTTCTGTCAGGTTTTTAATGATCCAATTCACGGCCATGTGGAGCTACACCCGCTTCTCATCAAAATCATTGACACTCCTCAGTTTCAGCGACTTCGAAACATCAAGCAACTTGGAGGCACATATTATGTTTTTCCAGGCGCGTCCCATAACCGCTTTGAACACAGCATTGGGTAAATATCTTGGTTTTATTGCATCTAATTAAGTCATGGATTCAGGAGAAAGAGGTTTACTCAGTGTCTGGCAAACATATTAATACCTCTGAGTATTTAATCTGGACTGTAGGTGATAAACCAGTGCTAATTAGTCCATAGTTGGGTTAAAAGGAAAATATTTTTTCCAAAATGTTAACCGAAATAAGTTTAAATTTAGTTATATGCATTTTTGTTCAGTCACATAATTTTTAGTTTCACTTTTTGCTGATGCTGCCTCCCCTATGCACTGCTTTCTGTCTATCAGATTTCCCCCATACTTTTTACATAAGAAGCCCCTCCCATACATTCCAATTGAATTTACCACAGGAGTATAGAGACTCTTAAATATGCATTTAGCTGACAGAGCAATCAAGGGCGTAGGTTTGATTTGAACTTTGGTAGGGACACTATTGGTCTGGTGTCATTGGTGCTATGCAATATGCATGCCCTTTTTTATGCTCGATGTGAGCATCCGTACTGATAAGAGGAATTCATTGTTAAAAGAGAAAAGCAACATTTTGCTCCATTAATAAAAATGTTATAAGCTCTACACTCATTAGATGCTGTTTATCAATGTTTGAAGTATCACCGGCTCTGATGAATGTGGAATTAGGACTGTTTTCCACTTTGAAAACGGTTTCCTTTGAACGACTAAGAGAGAAGGTAAATACAGTATTTTCTTCTGAAGATATAGAATAGTGCAGAGTTAAACCCCACTCTAATATTTGTACCTACTATTCTCTCTCTGTATCAAGCAAAATAATACATTCATTAAGATATTAACTTCACTATAAAAGTTGAACATCTGGGCTGTAGTTACTCTGTGTAGCCCAATTTCATGTATTTCATCTGGGGCTGAAAAAAATGAATCATATTAATTGATTATTGCAATAATCGTCAACTAATTTAGTAAGTGATTCATCATTAACTGGAGTATAGAGACTTTAAAACACACAGTAATATAAATGTAAAATGTGCCTTTCCCCACAGAGCAACCCACTTAGATCAGTTATTATATCAAAATTGTAAAAATAAAAACAAAAAAATGAAAACAGTAATATCAACTTAATATCGGTAAAAAGCAAACCCTCACATTTTCTTTTTTAGGTGGCTGTGGCTAAGAATCAGAAATGTTGATGGCTTACAGCCTTTATTTGCCCATTTTTCCAGCAGTCTTCAGAACTCCTGGCTGACTCAGAATATTTCGTTTTATAAAAGAAAAAAAAAGGTTTTTGTTTTTTAGTGTACATGATATAAATTTTTTTTTTTATCGGGACTAGTTTTGTAGCCTAATATTAATTGTAGTAACCGCTGCATTCTAGTGTGAATAAATTTTCAATGTTGCGCTTCAAGCACACGCGGACTAGAAAACAGCCAATCAGAGAGAGAGAAGGCGGAACTTAAGGCATAACAACCAATGAGAGTTGAGTTAAACAGCGCAGCACAGCTCCATGCGCTGCTACATGAAAGGGACAGGAGAGACCAGGCAGAGGAGCTGCGAGAGGAAAAGAAGCCACTGCTGCAATAACAACTGCTGTAAATTATTGTTGCTCACATCCAATTATTGGTAGGGACAATTAGGTCGGTTCAAAATTTTGGTAGGGACATGTCCCTATGGTCCCTATGCAAACCTACGCCCATGAGAGCAATCCATCTTGACTAGCAATTATACCAAAATTTTAAAGTAAAATGTTTGATCTAATCTGTCTGTCAATATGCTCTATCCAGAACTTCTCAAATGGTAAAGCCTTATTTTCCCTTGGTTTAATTTTGCAAAAAGTCTTCTTTATGGAATCTTTTGCTATCTAATTATGAATTGATTAATTTAAAAACTGATCGACAGATTAATCCATTTTCAAAATAATCATTAGCTGCATCTCACATAAGAAAATATTACACCCATACATAGACTTTACATGTAGTTGAGCCTTCAACACAATTTAATTTACGTAATTTAATTTATGAGTATTGAAGTGTGTGTGTGTGTGGGGGGGGGGCTATATAGAGATAATGCAATACTTTTTTTTTTGCTTATCTATAGAACCTTTTTAAAAGTTTTGTTCCCTTTGTATTGGCCGACCACCTGCCTTAACCCTCCAGGTATCACTGTTGTTTTGTCGGTGACTGTTGAAGTCTCCCAGTAGGATTTTTGAATCCCCGGGAGGAGAGCTATGCAACCTTCTTGTCAATCTGGTTTAAGTCCAACATGAAGCGGCTGAGCCGGGGTGAGACAATCACACCCACCCCAGCCCTCAGCTCCCCCTGGAGCCACTGCAGAGTAGAAGAGTCTCTCTCAAGGATCTGACTTCCAGAACCCAGGCAATGTTTGAAGTCCAGGCCATGTATTTCTAGCTGGTATTGCTCCACCTCCCGCACAAGCTCAGGCCCCTCCACCAGGTTAAGGTGGCGGTTCAAGTAGGGGATCTATTACATCACATCTAAAATAAAATGTTGTAAAACTATAACAACACACTATATTGACCCAGAATAACATTTGAATGCTGTGGAGCTGGCCCGGCAGTATAAAAGTTGTGATTCTCTTAGGACACCTTAATTAATTTTGTCTTGTTGTGTTTTTTTCTTTTGCTGTAGGGTCGGGTACTTGGCTGGACGACTTGCTCAAGCTCTCAATGACAGGCAACCAGAGCTCCTCATCTCTCGCAGGGACATTCTTTGTGTGGAAATTGCTGGACTGTGCCATGACCTGGGTCGGTGTTGCTTTGAGCACATAGCTTCACAACATCTGTCGGAAAACTAGCAGCCTTCTGGCATTGTAGTGTTTTCACCGGTTTAACTGAACATAGATAATTTTTTCTGATGGAGAAAGGAAGTAATTTAACTGCATCTTTCCAATCCAAATTACCTAGAATAACAAAGCTGTTCCACCAGGTCTCTTTTGTTGTTCAATCAAGGGATTAATTTGTGTCAGAAGTGATTTCTTTAAACTAATGCAATTATAAATGCCCTCAGTGTGTAGAGCAATATTAAATTATCCTCTTATCTCAGGAGACTTAAGGCCTCTTAAAGGAAATAAACAGAGTAGATGAGTTTTTAGAATAAACCTATATGTCCAAAACTAAAACAATTGCTTTAGGTTTGATGCTAGTCATCTAAACTTATATTCATAAAGGTTAAGTATCAGTTTCTGAGTGAATAGAAGTGTAAATATGAATGATCATTTTCCACACTATGAAAGATTTTTTTTATTGTGGACTGAAATGACCTTTAAGCCCAACGCTGCTCTTGTTCTCCTTTCAGGACACGGACCTTTCTCCCATATGTTTGACGGCATGTTTATCCCCAAAGCACGCCCAGGACTTAACTGGAAAGTAAGACTGTCTTGTTCTTTTCCTGTTGGACCTGTTTTGGTGCACCAATACATTTAGTGTTGTTTCTGATTTCTGTTTGGTATAAGCTTCCAACGTTTGTGAGGCATCGCCAATTAAATTGGCAAATATGAAAAACAAAGCTGCAATGAACTCATTCAAACCTGCAAAGAGGGTTTTTTAGAATAAAGATAAGCATGAATGAAAAAACTAGTAAAAAGACAACTGTGTTTTTGGGAGGGGTTCTGTTTAAATCTAATGTTTGAGCTTTTAACATCCTAAATTCTTATAAATTTGTAGTTTCAATTTATTCCACAAAGCAACTCATTTCTAAATAATTCCTTGGTGGTTAGTTTTGATTTTTAGCCTGGGAGAAAAGGCCTCATTCTGCACAGTGTAGGCCAGTTTACCACAGACTAAATACTTTAAACAGATAAATAAAAAAGAAAGCTCTGTCCATTGGACCCTGACTGCTTTGTGAATGTTTACTTCTAAAGTTTCTGTTTACAGAAGGATTTTATTGAGGGTAAAAAATCTCTGCAGGCCAGCCAGAGCTTCTGTGGTGAGCTCAATAGATGTGATAATGACACAGTTCAGGGCTTAGACTGATAAAGAAAAGTAATTAGATCTACTTAACTCAATCCATTATGTAACCTGCAACCTCCCAAACATGAATTAAAACTAGAGTTTAAATAATGCTGTTGCAACCAATGTAACCATTGAGCCCTTCCTGACTCACTCAGAGGTTTTAAGACTGTCATTTTAGGCTGATTTTTGTCCTGCTCTGTCTGTTTCTGCCTCTTGCAGCACGAGGCCGCCTCTTTGAAAATGTTTGACTACCTTGTGGAAGACAACGGCTTGAAGCCAGTTATGGAGGAGCACGGCCTGGTGCTCCCAGAGGACCTGGACTTCATCAAGGAGCAGATCGCAGGTCCGATGGAGAGCAGTTTGGCTCGAGGAGAAAAGGTAAACCGTGTCTAAACTAAAACTGAAGCACACTGCAGGGCTCTATGCCTTCCATGTATGAATGATAACTTTAGCCAGAGTGATTTTATTTTCCAAAATTCCTGTTGAATGGGGCCTCTTTGGCTGTTACTTTCATCACCATCTTGATTTCCCAAAGTAATCATTAGTTCATCATCATTCTTCTCTAACACTTTTGCTACTATTTGCTGGTTTTTTTTCTGACGGCTAGTCATCTTCACTTCTGTTAGCTTCCACTTAAGTCGAGGCATTTATGACTGGAGACCTACTTAGCACTTTCCTCATGGCTGCAGTTATCTTTCAAAATAAAGCTTCACGTTTATTTTTTAAATTGAACTTTACTGATCTCACACTGGAGAAAGTTACATCTAAATTTAACCCATCCCCTTGGGGAGCAGTGGGCTGCCATTGTGGAGTGCTCGGGGAGCAGTGTGAGGTTAAAGCAGGGGTCGGCAACCCAAACTGCTCAAAGAGCCATATGGGACCAAAACAACAAAAAATAAATCTGTCTGGAGCCACAAAAACCAGTAAAAATCTTATATAAGCCTCTTATGGCAACACAGGCTCTAAGTGTATTATTCCACTATAGAAAAGGAGTATGATGGCTTAAATATGTAATAAGCATTCAGGACTAAATGTTTATCCTGGAGCAAATGTCACTTGGCAGTATGAGGTGAGGGAGAAGCAGTGAACACTCTCACCGCGCGCCGCTCTCTCTGCACGCCGCTTCACCGCCCTTTACCGTGCGGTTTAAGTTTTGTTGCATTGATGAAATTATAGAAACACAATAAAGGAATATTTCTATGGTGGGTGTGTTTCTCTTTGAGAGGAGTTGATTGATTCATGAGGAACCAAGCAGGAACTGACATCCATCATAGCAAAGCTCTCTAACCCTGAAATCCCAAATCCTCTCTCCCCAGCATTCCTTGGTGTTTTTTATATTTTTAGGATTTGGGGAAAAAATGGAAGAAAGTTCACATGCCTTCATCAGAGCGCTACCTGTTTGATCCGTGGACGGTTTTCCATCCTTGCAACCAAACTAGCAGCAATAGTGGTGTTTGGAGATGCAATCCACTTCTTAAATCTGTCTTTGCACTCCGCTTTGATTCCCTGGCACCGCGCCGCGCTGATTGCAAGTTATGTCCACTGATCTCTATGGCTATTTATTATACAAATGTTTACAGCATTGGAAGACATAGTTAATTTTTGCTTGACCTCCTGCATACCATATTAAAACAAAAAAAAGGAACAAACAAAAAAATTTGATTTTCATACATTTTTGAAAAAGCCGCAAGGGAGAAGCTAAAGAACTACATGTGGCTACGGAGCCGCAGGTTGCAGACGCCTGGGTTAAGGGGCTTTGCTCATGGACCCAGAGTGGCAATCTGTGGGAGTGGGGGCTCAAACTCAGAACCTCAGGATTCCAAGCTCTATGCCCTAACCACTAGGCCGCCACTCCCCTAAAACATCACTATCATCACTTGTCCTTTTTTTTGTGATAAGATGTTCAATGTTAAACCATACTTTGTTGTTTATTATCCTTACCACTCTGCTATGTACTAATCATAAATTCATCAGACTCACTTAACCAAGTTTTTAAGTAATCTTTTTAAAAAATCTCTTGAAAATTTGTCTTTCTATTTCTTTTCATTGTAACTAGCTACATGTTAAAGTAGTACAGAAATAATTAAAAAGCAGACATCTGATCACCAGAAAATGCAAGTTAAGGTGCTTTGAAAGGTTAGGGCACGGGAGAGCGATGCTAAAGTTCACCAGATGAGCACTATGAGATGAGTTCTATGACAAAGCAGGTTTTTTAGGCTGCAGCAATACACTCTTGTTGATGTGAGTGGGTTCAGTGGTCCACTGTCTCACAGGCTCTTCTGTGCAATATAAGTAAAAAACACTTACTTGTTGCTCAAATAATGCTAAAAATGTGTTTTTTCCTATTAAGATCTTTAAGTTAAGTACTAAAATAAAACTGTTTATTTAACTCCAAAATACTTGTCAGGTGGTGTACATTCTGGAACGAGAGCCAGGCTAAAACTATGAATATCTGTTGTTTTTTTTAACCTAACTGTTTCTTTTACATTAGAAATATTTACAAAATCTTTAGCTGTTCTAAATGTCGCATTATCTCCTGGAATAAACATTTAGTTGCACTTCCAATAAATGACCAGTAGATAGCACCACATGATCTACTACCATTCACCTTAGTGGTGTATATGTAGTTATACCATAAAAACTCAGTCATACATAAGGTAATGGGTTTAGTTCTTTGGTTGCATGCCTTTTTTAAAGTGCAGTGGTAAAAAGCAGTGGTAACTAAGCGTTTTCCTAGATGCTTAAATCTTGTTTTTTCTTAAATAAAAATCCAAATTCTTTGAACACTTTCTTTTTTTCTACCAAGTGTTTCTTTTCACAATTTAACAATTTCTTCAATACAAAAAGTATCCAATATTTTTCAGCATTAAAATAAAACAAAAGGGGGAGATTTATGTTAGGGTTATATATATATATAAAATTATGTTATGGGTTTTCTTTGAGTTCTGAGGATTGTCAAGTATGAATGAAAGGTTCACTCCATATTTGTGATATATTTTCATGTCAGAAAGTACCTCATAGTAAAAGGCAAAAACTTTGAGTTGTCACCATTTTAGGAATATCTATATAGAGAAAAGTACAGAAGGTGTCCAACTGCTGCAACTACTTGTGCTGTTGGGCCAACATTTATATTACTCTTTAACTGTAGTTCAGGGTATATTTAAGGGTTTGAATGGCTTCCTGGCTACCCATGTAGTGCAGAGTCTTGCATTATCCTCTTATTTATGATTAAAATTAATTTCATTTCAGTTTTTTTTGTTATTGCTGTGAAACTTCTCAGTCATCCAGGTCACAGCAACAAGAAAACAGGCTTATGTTTTCAGGAAACCAGACTTTTGCTCAGGTTATCTCCAAACATTTCGACACCAGAGTCGACTCTGGTGACTCGCTCTAGAGAAACCAGTATTTAGAATGCAAATATTTTTAACCACCTGGAGATGACTCGTCCTAAGAACATTTCAAGAAAGATGCAAATCAATCATCCACCCATAGTCTATTGGTGTGAGTTGCATATTTTGCAGTATGTATCACTAGAATAGAAGAATCAGCTTTATTGTCATTGTCACAGGTACAAAGCAACGAAATGAACTCTCTGCATTTAACTCATCCCCTTGGGGATCCCTTTGGGCGTCTGGGGTTTTGGGACCCGCAGCGCTTGTCTCAGTGCTCGGGGGGCGGGTCTTTGGCTCTTTACAACCACTTTTGAGCATTTTAGCTTTGTGAGAGTGCACTTGTGCATGTAAAGTTTATCCAGACAACTACAGCTGCTTGGTTCCAGGTACTTAGAGATTTACTTCCATACAGAAAGCCCATATTCTAAGCTTCAGCTACCACAGTATACATATCAGATTAAAGGAATAGTACACCCAAAACATGATTAGCCTTCATTTTCTACTCACCCCCATGCTGAACAAAACTCTGGAGTACTTTTTTGATATCTCAAATGCATCTGGAGATCTGGGAGGCTTCTTGCTGTCTGCTGACATTCAAATAATGGAGGTCTATGGTGACCGAGGCAGAAAGGTCCATAAAAGTCCACAAAAACGTGTCAATATTCCTCCATACTGCTCGTCCAATGTAATCCAAGTGTCCTGAGTGGGTAGCATCCAGAATTTACTCGAAACGAAGTCATTTAGAACGTTTTAGAGCCTAAACAGTAGTGTATAGGATTTCCTAATAGCGCCCCCATGCGCGCTCACGATTCTACGGAAGCCGGCAGACCAAACCGGAAGAAAGTGCGCATTCAGCGTCTGCTCTGCCGATAATGCAAGCGTAGAAGAAGAAATGTGCTGTTTACCTGTGCAAAGAAAGAAACAACGAAAGAAAAATGTCTGAGGACTTCAGTGTTGAGGAAGAGCATGAGTTCTTTGCCGAGCTGAATGCGCTGGTTTGGTGTGCCGGCTTCCGTAGAATCGTGAGCGCGCATGGGGGCGCTATTAGGAAATCCTATACACTACTGTTTAGGCTCTAAAACGTTCTAAATGACTTCGTTTCGAGTAAATTCTGGATGCTACCCACTCAGGACACTTGGAATACATTGGACGAGCAGTATGGAGGAATATTGACACGTTTTTGTGGACTTTTATGGACCTTTCTGTCTCGGGCGCCATAGACCTCCATTATTTGAATGTCAGCAGACAGCAAGAAGCCTCCCAGATCTCCAGATGCATTTCAGATATCAAAAAAGTACTCCAGAGTGTTGTTCAGCATGGGGGTGAGTAGAAAATGAAGGCTAATCATGTTTTGGGTGTACTATTCCTTTAAATCATTCTACTTATACTTCAGCAATAGTATCAAGGTGCTTCTTTAGTGTATCTTTTATACTATATTGGTTGGTTGTGTTGTTTTTACAACTCTAAGCAGGTGATGAAGCAGACTGAAGACGTTTTATCGTTGTCTCTCTTCTTTCTCCTCTTTCTTTCTTCTTTTCTCCTTTTTCCTGTTTTCCTTTCGTGTTCTACTTATATTGCAGTGTCCATATAATCTGTAATACTCTCTGCATAATATAATAAAGCTTAATGCATAAATCAAGCAGAACACTATTGCAATAGCATTACTGCTCCCTTTGTGAAAGCAAAATCTGTTGGGCCCTTTTTGGCATCAAGACAAATATTCTTATTGTCACATTGCCAGACAGGAAACTGTTAAAAAAAAAATTTTTTTTTTTTTCTTTCAATAAACTAAAACTTGCAGCACTGGATTCTCTGGTCTGGATTTTTGTGGAGTATGAACTTTAAAAGCAATGAACTCTACAGTAAATGACTACGCCTAATTCATAAACACATGTTCTTGTTTTGTCTCCATAGTGGCCATACAAAGGCCGTACTAAAGACAAGTCCTTCCTCTATGAGATTGTTGCAAACAAAAGGAACGGCATTGACGTGGATAAGTGGGATTATTTTGCCAGGTGGTGGATTGTCTGAATTGTTTAAATCAATGTTAAATTAACACCTAAAATATACATACATTTTCTTGTTGTGACATGAAACCACTGTTTTCATTATTCCATCTTTCCCTCAGGGACTGCTACCATTTGGGCATCCAGAACAACTTTGACTATCAGCGCTTTCTAAAATTTGCAAGGGTCATTGAAGTGGACGGGAAGAAGCACATCTGCACAAGAGATAAGGTGTTTTTTTTTTTTGGTTTCTCTATTTCATATCAGAAAATATAAAACCTGTTCACTGACATTCAGGATATGTTTTTGAACAGGAGGTAGGCAATCTGTACGACATGTTCCACACTAGGAACTGTCTCCACAGGAGAGCTTACCAGCACAAAGTGGGCAACGTCATTGAAACAATGTAAGGGATTATCTTTTATATTTTTGGTGGCTCACTTGCTGTTTGCTTTTTTGTTTTTGTTTTAGAAAGTCCTGATAGTTGTGAGCTTTCTCCACAGGATAACAGAAGCTTTTTTAAAAGCAGACCCACACATCAAGATCGCGGGCTCTCAGGGAAAAATCTTCACTCTGTCCACAGCGATCGATGACATGGTGGCCTACACCAAGTTAACGGGTCAGTAAAAACTCTTTTATATATACTTAATATAACATTAATATAACGTCTCAGCCACTATAAACACACACTTTTATTTTTTTATATATATATATATATATATATATATATATATATATATATATATATATATATATATATATATATATATATATATATATATATATATATATGTGTGTTATCACCTGGATGTTATCAGAGTTGGAATTCAGAATCGCGTGTAGTTCTTCTGAAAAACGTTCTTAAATTCCTCCTACGCCACTGAGGCGACAGTGGCGAGTTTGCCCTGCAATCGGAGGGTTGTCGGTTCAACCTCCGGCTTTCAGTGTTGTTGTGTCCTTGGGAAAGACACTTCACCTGCATTGCCTACCTCTGGTGGTCACAGGGCTGATGGCACCCGTCTACGGCAGCCTCGCTTCTGTCAGTGAGCCCCAGGGCAGCTGTGGCTACAATGTAGCTTGCCACCATCAGTGTGTGAATGATTGAATGTAGTGTAAAGCCCTTTGGTCAAGTCCTCTGACTTAAAGCGCTATACAGGCCTTTTACCATTTAAATTGAAGCTAAATGGATCTTGGTGTTCTTCGCCAGTGTTATTTTTTCTGCCTGTAAGTTTTATTAAAATTAGAATTTCGTGTGGCTGTTATGTCAGCAATACGGCACTGCATTAATAACAAATTTTTCCTTTTCTTTTTTTTTTGGTATGCAAAGTTAAAAGTATAGTGAAGGATACTCTTTTTCGAATTCTTAATTCATTCTGGTGATGTGTTTAAGTAACGCTGTTGTACCTGCTCTTCCCCATTTTCACTTACCAATGGTGAGTGTGACATAGTGGAAAAATTGCAAATCTTCTTTTGGAAAGTAAGCTTTTATTAGCAACGCCAACAGTAACTTTTAAACAGAGTGTGCACGTGGACAAATGGGCTTGTGCATGCTCTCGTACGTACTTAATAGGCGTTCCTTTTTGGTTGCGGGTACAGGGTTGTGCATGTGCATTTTTTCTTTTAAAGTGAAGCGGGTGGGTCTTTTAAAAAATTCACGAAAATCCTCCACATTTTTTTCTGTTTTGTTTTATAATGTTCTGATACAGATATAGGTATCAGAAAATCGCTATATATCTGTTAGAGTTGTGTCCTTATAAATCTGAATCACTCTGATATGGTTTAAGTTTAACAGTTTGCTGTTTCTAACTTTTATAACACCTTATCTTATTTGCAGCTGAACATGCAAAACAGAAAAAGAATAGAAATATGTGTTTTAATGTCCTTCAGTGGGGAAATGTATACCAGCTGTAAGTGACCAATGGATTTGTGCAGATTCACACACAGGTGAAAGACAAAAAAAATGTATAGGAGATAATTCAGTGAGGGCAAATGTACAAAATAAGAAAAAATATAAGTTATTTAAAAATGGCTTACTCTGGTTAAAAAAAGGCAAATATGATGGTACTTTTGTGCAAAAAACAAATAAAAAAGAAGACAGGATTTCTTGTACATGGAAAAAACTGTGACTAACATCAGGTTTGTACCTTCAGCTGATCCAAAATGCTGCAGCCAGAGTTCTAATGAAAATTAAAAAGAGAGATCATATCTCGCCTATCCTGGCTTCTCTTCATTGGCTTCCTGTTAAATCAAGAATAGAATTTAAAATCCTCCTTCTCACATATAAAGCCTTAAATGGCCAAGCTCCATCTTATATCAGAGATCTGATTGTTCCTTATGTTCCTAACAGAGCACTTCGCTCTCAATCTGCAGGTTTACTAGTGGTTCCTAGAATTTCTAAAAGTAGAATGGGAGGCAGATCTTTTAGTTATCAGGCTCCTCTCCTGTGGAACCAACTACCAGTTTTAGTCCGTGAGGCTGACACCCTGTCTACTTTTAAGGCTAGGCTTAAAACTTTCCTTTTTGATAAAGCTTATAGTTAGGGTGGCTCAGGTTATCCTGAGCTATCTCTATAGTTATGCTGCTATAGGCTTAGACTTTTGGAGGACATAGGGACCCCCATTTCATCATTCTGCTTCATTCTCTCTCTGTTCTCCTATTCTGCAGAATCTGTTAGTTCAATCTCTAACCTTCTGCTCTCTCTGCTTTTCCTCAGAGTAGCTTTGCCTCGTCTGTTCCTGTTTGGCTGTGACGTCATCCTGGAAAGAAACATCAGCTGTGCTGCTTCTATCAACACCCTTGTTTATAGATGTTGGAGATCGGCCTGTTTTCCAGTGTGGTCCTGTTTCTCTGACCGTGACTGAGTGGATGTGCTCTCTTCGTCCTCTGGCATGGGAGCTGCCTTGGAGCTCGTCTGCCTGGCTGTGTGTTTCCTGGACGGGGCCGCCTTTTACAGCTGCTTTTTGTATCTCTGCTTCTGTCTCCTTGAACCCCAGTCGGCCTCGGCAGATGGCCGCTCACACTGAGCCTGGTTCTGCTGGAGGTTTCTTCCTGTTAAAAGGGAGTTTTTCCTCTCCACTGTCGCTACAAGCATGCTTAGTGTGGGGGATTGTATTTGAGTCAATGAGTCAATGCAATCAACTGGTTTTCCTTAGATAGAAAACTTTGTATCAATTTGACTGTATGATCTGGTTGAACTGTAAAGTGCCTTGAGATGACATGTGTTGTGAATTTGGCGCTATATAAATAAACTGAATTGAATTGAATTACACATAATTTTATAGGAGCTATGATGCTTATAAACTCTTCTGGGAAGGACTTGAAAAATATCTCCTTCAATCCTTGGATGCAGCTGTCTGTCTCTGAAGGAGGTCTTCATCAAAGGTCTCATGTTCTTTCTTCAGACTCAGATCTTTATAGATAAATATAGCGCAAAGCAAATTTTCCTCTGCGCAAAGAACTTTGGACCATTAAAAGCTGTTCCGTCCTTTTCTTAGCCCTGGCAAGAGGTTTCTAACATGGTCCCTAAAAGTTTAATTGTTGACGCAGAAAAAGCTTTTGGTTGTGTAGACTGGCACTATCTGTTACACTTGCTGGAGATTTTGGGCTTCAGACTTAATTCATGCCTTGTGGTCATGCCCAAAGGTACCTTAAGTATATTTCAGAGATTGCGGGGATGGACTGTAATCTCTGCCCTGACTCTATATACTAGGGAGTCTTAAAGACCTTAACTACATGGTAAAACCCCTAGCTAACTGGTTCCCGACAAACATAATGTTTGGAAAACAGATAATGAGAGAGTGGAAAGATGCCCATTGTTTCAGTATTGGGTCTCAGAACTGGGTAAGGTGGCAGCATTTGAGAAAACGATGAATGAAATGGAAAAATATAATGAAAAATGGGGAACATTTCTACACTCATTACATGGAATGTAACATTTGGATACACCAACGTTCCCCTTGGCTGCTTTTTTCTTTTTCCTTTTTTTTTGTTTAGGTTATGACTGTTGGGTCTTTCAGCCCACAGCCTCTTTAATTTGCTTGTTTTTTGTCTTTTCCAGGACTTTGCTTGCTACAAGATAGAAATTTGATAAAGAAATAACACCTTTATCTTTTTATAGAGCTCTTTCTTTTCATTTCAGATCTCCTTGCTGCCACTCATGGTGACTTTTTACTCAGCTGTTGGTGTGAAAAATAATTTACTGTAGAACACACGCCCTGTACGTGTATCTTTACTTGGTTGAGATCTTAGAGTACATTCAGAATAAAGAGGAGATTTATTATAACTGTGAAATCAGGCTTGATGACTGGAATTTACATCCTAGTCTTAAAGTGAACCTACCCTTTGTAAAACCTTTGTGTAATTTTAACAAATAATCTTACATGTTTTTTAGGTTCCTTAGTTTACTTAGATATCTTCCATGTCCCTGTTTTCTTTGCAGATAATGTGTTTGAACAGATCCTGAACTCCTCCTCTCCAGAGCTTGCAGAAGCAAGGCTGATCCTTCACAAAATCATCTGTCGGCACCTCTACAAATGTCTGGGGCAAACTCGGCCAGATAAAGCCTTGACTGTCACTCAGGTCTGTTTGTAGTTGGATATAAAACACACGCATCCTATTTTGTGATTCAGATGTGGAGGACTAGATTTTAGGAAATGACTAAGTTCAGTTATTGGAGAATTAATATGCCTGGATTTATAGCATGCTTACAAGGGATGTGGGGTTAGGCTGCATTAAGTTAAATTCTAGCTGTAAAATGATTTAAAAGATATCAAAAATGTAAAGTTCATTGCATGTTTATTTGCTCAAACTTGTTGCAATAGTGTTTAAGTTTCAGCTTATTGTTGGTCAGATATGGACATGTATTAACAGTGCTAATTCTTTCTGTCATTAAGGAAATCATGCATGGATGGGAGGCAGATTTGGCTAAGGCCATCCCTCAGAATGGCTCCCAAGATGCTGATCTGAAGCCAGAGGATTTTGTAGTCAGTGTGAGTATTATTATTATATTTCTTTTCTTTTGATTCATTCAAATTCATATTTCAGAATAGAATAGAAAATTAATTTATTGTCCCACATTGGAGAAATTGTGGTGATTTCTAGACATTTTCCAGACATAATAGGATGCTCATCCTATGCAATCCAACAAAAAAATAAAATGAATTATATGGAAGGAAATATTATCTAATAGAATAAAATCCACACTCAATAAACCAATGCTTTTTGTTAAACTACCTTTGATTAAATTTCAGTATACTTATAAGTTCTATATCTTTATTTGACCATATTTTCTTACTCTACCTTGCAAAAGCCCTTTTTCTACAGTAAAATGAGAAAATATCTTCTCAACCAAAGGAGACGGTTGACACTGAAGATTTTTTAAACCAATCTGATGGACATTTGGGCTGTATGGTTACAGTTTAACCCTGTAAATTTGAAGCACAAAGAATTTGTCACCACTTTGTCTTAATATAGCATTATGTGGCTGAGATTTTATTAAGATAAGTTACTGTCTTAGTCAGAAACTGTGATAATCAAACATCTACAAATGTTTATTAAAACTGCATCTAATCACCTCGACCATAGTGAGCATTGATACCCAACATCTACAGGCTCATGCACTAGAGGTGATTCCCAACTAGGCGTACTCGTACCCCAGTGGCCTGCGAGTGCTTTGCAAGGGGGTACATGAAAATATTTTGTTTCTCATATAAAATAGGGCTGGGATCTGTTCTGCTTTGTCAGGACCCACCTGAAATATAAAACAAGCTTTTTTTCAACCAAAAAGAAAGTTTTTCTTTTATCAGAGGACCAGACTGGATGCAGAGAGCAGCCTGGTATCAGCTGTTTTCCCACACCTGATCAAACCGAGGCCAAATTTCATGAATGATGAAAACAGTTAAACAGCAACAGAACATCGTAGAACAAATTAAGTCAGTCTGACTATAACTATTGTTCACTATCTTGTTCCCAATTTCTCAAGTTTAAATGTGATTATAGGGGAGTTTCTGAGAGGACCTCCAATTATACAAAGGCAGATTTATAGTTTGATTTTATTCTTTATTTATTTATATTCCTTACTGGATTTTGGGCAACATATTTAAGTTGTTTTGTTTTTTTCAGTTGGAAAAAATAACACGCCAAACATTTACTGCTCAAGTTGAAAAGATTAAATGAAATCCTTTTTATTTTATTATAAGTTATTGTACGTTCCACTTCTGGGCAGTCATCAATACTTTTGACTGAGAGGGATACTCATGGTAAGAAAAAATGAAAATCCTGGGATTTTCCCCAAAACCTATTCAGGTGTTATTTATAGGTAATGATGAACCTGTAGAAAATTCCATTAGGACCAATATTTTTCTGCCTGTTTCTTAAAGGAATAGTGGAGGATGATCTTTTTCCGAGGGGATTATCAGAATAAGTGGTCCTCCTAATTGTCAATCATTCTGGTGATAAGTTTACGTATTTTATTTCGAATGAATCTGAGTTTTACTTGTATGGAAACATCTTATAGTCGATGAGCTACAGTCAGCGTCCAATGAATATATTTTCTGCTTAGTGGATGGCATTTCCCGCTTTTGTTATGAACACCATTCCATATTAATTATGACAAAATGGCAGGCAAGTATTTCTTGGCTTAACACCGGTGGAGAGTCTGACATAGTGGAAAAATTGCACATTTTCTTTTGGAAAGTAAGCTTGTATGAGCGATGCAAACAGCAACTTTTAAACAGAGCTTGTACTGGAGAAATGCGGTTGTGCATGCTCCTGCACGCGTTTTAATAGGCGTTCACTCTCGGAGCAGGTAAAGGTTTGTGCATGTGCTTTTTTAAAATTTAAAGTGGAGAGGGTGGGTCTTTTCAAACATTTGTGAAAATCCTCCACTATACCTTTTGATAAAATGAACCTCATCAATATTTAACGAGAATGAATTTTATTCCCCATATTCTATTTCAAAATGTTTTACTTTTTAGGTCGTAGTGATGGACTATGGTATGAAGGAAAAGAACCCCATCAATAACGTGCGTTTTTACTGCAAGGATGACCCAACAAAAGCTATAAAGATCTGCAAAAACCAGGTGATAATTTTAGGCTATTGTTAAACAATTCCTTGTTTGTTCTTCATATGTTTGAAACTCTAGTCCATTATACATCTCCATGAAACAACTTGATTATTAGCAGGGTTATGTAGAACTTGATTCCTTGCTGAGGAGCTCAGCCATTGAATTTCCGTGTGTTGAACCAGATATAAGTCAGAAAGTTACAGGATCCCCAAAGACTGGAGTTTGTTATGTAATTTTTTTTAATCAATTTCTGCTTCCATCTTGAAACTTTTTAATTTGCCACCTGCTATTGCTTTCAGGTATCTAAACTTCTCCCAGAGCACTTTGCTGAACAGCTGATTAGGGTCTACTGCAAGAAAACAGATGAGAAGACTATGGAGACTGCCAAGAAGCACTTTGTTCAGTGGTGCATGGACATGAACTTCTCGAAGCCTCAGGTATTCCTGCAAACTGCATGGCATAAACTATTGGTTGATTGCTATTTAAAATGTACAGGACTGTGTTTGACAATATAAAGGGGTTCCCCCCCTCATTTATATGGTCCTGGAATCCGAACACACAACCCATTTTGTGTAATGACCTAAACAAATGTGCCTAACCTCTGTGGTGAGACATAAATTCTCTATTATGTTGGTGGCAACATATCTGCATCCTAGGTGCTGTGTGAAGGAATGTCAAAGCTGCAGTATTAGCTGAAGCACTAGGTGTGACCAGAGTAGGATTATATCTTAAATTGGACAACACTGAGGATATGATACAATGAAATACAGCTTGTCTAACAGTGTAAATTTGCCATCCCTTCATTATACTCAGTGAAAAGCAATAATGCCTGGATTGTTGACAACATAAACTGTGTAGAAAATCCTCTATTGTTGTCTCATGTTTTTGTCACAAATGGATGGTGGAACCGCCTTGCTAAGACAACCCGTCCATATCACCATGTGTTGTAATGGAAAACTACCATTGTAAACTTAAAATGACCCAAATGGGTACTACCAATGGGAAACTGCATTAAGGGCATAAATTATTGGAAGGATATCCTATGATCTGATAAGCCCAATGTACACCAGGATGGTTCATAGGCTATTAGGCACATGTGGCGACAAAGTACAAAGACTTTGTTGCCTGCAGCCCAAAATGGTGAAGGCAGTGTTTCAGTTTTCACCTGCATGACTGATTCCTTCTGTGGGGAGCTACTGTTCATTGATGAAAATTGTGCACAAATTGTAAAAAAGGATCACTCAACAACACAGTTGTTTGATTTCTAAAAGAGGTTTCTTTCCTTTATCGAGACCTGTATTTAAAAAGAAAAATAATTCTGGGATGCTTGCTCAGCTTTCTGTATATAAAACCTCTTGTACTGTTGAGCTAATGTAAACAGGGAGAGTGCCTCCTCCACCGCTTGCTGAAACTAATGGTTGATGCACAGAAACCTCCCATACTTATCAGGCTATTTAATAGAGACAGATGTGGTTCGGATGGTCAGAAAGCAGTTATTGGCACCTACATGAAGAGCATCCCCATACACTGGAGTATCAAAAGACCTTCAAGGAAATTCTGTTTAGGTTTAGCTTGGTAAAGGGGTACCTTTATAAATCTGTTTGGCATATGGAAAGAAGTGCAACCACAACATTTACATTAAATTTAATCGTAATCTAAAGCAGTGTTTTTCAATGCTGGTCCTCAAGGCATCCTGCTCTGCATGTTTTGGATGTTTCTGAGGTTCAGCAAACCTGATTCAGATGATTGCAGTTCAGCAAAGCCTGATAATCTGCTATCAATTGATAACAGGTGTGTGAAAGCTGGGAAACATCTAAAACATGCAGGGCAGTGTGCCTTGAGGACCATGATTAAAAAAGCACTGATCTAAAGGATGCTCACGTTTTACCTAACCAACAAGCAGAGCCAATCTTCTGCATCAGTGTCTGCACTACTCTGTGTTTCTGCAATGTTAATACACTGTCACCTTAGACAGAAACAGACTGGTGGTCTTTCTTCAGTAGCTCATAGTTGACTTTGGTTTGAACTGCAGTTATTTGTCCTCATCTCTAAGTCCGTTTGGATGAATTTGTCTAACAAATATGAAAACTATCTAACCTTTTATCATTACTTTTTCGTTTCATTTAATCCTGTAGACTCTGGATTCTTGCATATCCCATAATAAATAATTCTTTTCTTTCTTACATGTAGGATGGAGATATTATAGCGCCTGAGCTGACTCCTCTTAAAGCAAGCTGGCACAACAACAATGAAGGTGAGGACAGTGATGACAGCAGCTCCAAAGAAACAAACCCTCTTGTGAATGGATTTAAGAAAGCTAAAACTCAGCTTAACTTTAAGTAAAAGAGAGATCCATGCGCTAAATATTGCACATACCAGAAAGTAAACAAAGATCAGTGTTACATGAAAGTTGTATTTTTGTACAAGGTGGGTGGGTTGATAAGTCCAACAAACAGGTTTTAATACAAAGAAATGTTCATATTGAAAATATATGTTCAAGAAAAAGAATGCTCCATTTAAAAATATATATATTTTATTTTCTAGTCACTCGTTTTATTTTCAAGAGCTCAATAGCTGATCCAATGTTTTTCTTTTAAAGATAATTTTCAAAGCAATCTTCCCATCATCAAATTTCATTCTGCCTTTCTATGTTGTTCATCATAGTCGGCTGCACCTAAACACAACTCGGTACATTTCAATGTTTCTAAATTTTATTTGAGATTAGGTGGGAAGACTATTTTTTTTTTTTGCCGTTTTTGTTGAATTTTTGTTACAACTTTATTTATTGTTTATCCAGAAAATGAGTCTGCTTACTCGTCATATTGCCTTGCAGGTCTAAATAAAACACTGTAGAGTTTTCCTTCAACCTGTGTAATAATGACATGGACTCCTCAGATCTTTGCTTGATTGTGTTAAAAAAAAAACTCAGATAATGTTTCTTGCCGTGACTTTTGAATGTAATCCTTCTTTCTGGGCGCATTCCTTTTCAATAAACCCCTTTGAGGTCATTTTCTGTTCCTTTTTTTTTTTTTAGGAAAGAAGGCACCATTCAGGCATCTGAAGCTACAGATGAGGTTTTTTCAGATAATTTTCACACATATGAAAACCGAACAGAAAATATTTTAAACACATCTTTAGAATCAAAAACAGTGTCATTCAAAATGAAATCATTCCTAAATGCTAGATTTTAATGTGCAGGAAACAGGGAACGTTTACTAAAAACACACAAGCAAACATTTATAAACTATATAGAATATTACATTAATCTGAATAACTCTCTCCTAGATAGATGCAAGGGTGAAAAAAACGTCCTTCTGAATCAGGTACTCAATTTGGTTTATGCTAGATAATTGATACAAGTAGTTCAATTTAAATTCTACAAGGTATGAATCTGGATAGCCTCATGTAAAACAACTTTATAATAGGGAGGGACCTTAAGTACAAATCTTCACGCTGATTGGGTCCCTGCCTCCAAGGTCGAGTCTTTAGCCAGTCACAACGACAGTAGCAGCTGCGACTTATCACATTCTGATTTGTTTCAAAGCTAGAAAAATCAACTCTTACTAAATCAGGTCGGCAGGAACCTGCAAACATATTCCCATCCGCAAAGTCAAAAATTTCAAAATAAAATAGAAAATCACTTTATTGTCCCACAATGGGGAAATTATGGTGTTTTGTAACACTTAGGGTTGCATGGTGGATTTATATTCTATGCCAATCCAATTGGATGCCATATTTATGTTGTGATTTCAATATATTCAATTCCCAGCCAGCTGGGAATTTATATTTCTGATACTATAAGATGTTTATTGCCCTACTCGGTAGGGGAAGTAGATATCTTATTTAATCAGATATTATTTCGGCTCTGATATATTGTTTATGAACACACGCCCTACTAGCTGTGTGTTAGAACAAAAAATGAAAGAGTGATTTGAGCACTAATCATGGTCAAACAGTTAATTCAGCACATACATGGAATAAATTCACCATAACTTCTGTTCAAGTTGTAAGAATTTATTAACAAAAATCATTCAGCTCCAAGTCAAACACATTTGAGTTTAAAACTCTTAACTAAAACGACTGAAACTAAACTAAACTACTATGTACAAATGGGAAGGGGAAACATGGTTGAAAACCATATTACAGTTTAAGATGGATATTTTGTTTGAAAACCAAAGTTAATGCGGAAGAATTTGGGATATGATCAAATTAGCTTTTCGCTAATTTAGAGCAATTGGAATGTTTTCAGACCAATTCACGATGCAAATCCATGAGGTGAATAAAACATTATTTGGCCAAATAATGTTTTATTAAATAATTTGCTTAATCAGGAACCAATAACCTTTAGTTAATGATTCTTTACCCTCTTTGAAATAGCTAGCAGCGAATAACAATGAGAATTCCACTAAATGACTCTTGGTTACTTGAAATGTAATGGGCATATGAGGAACAAATGAACACGAATGTTATATTAGTGTTTACTTTAAACCCTTAGTGAAATGAAGCTTGTCCAAGCTTCAACAACAGCTCGCAACATATTCCTGTAGCATAGCATAGCATGCAGTCCATCCTGTTAGCTTTGTCTCTACTCATCAGTAAAAGCATGAAATGATCAACATCATCAAAAGACATATTGTTTGTTCTGTCCCTAATTGTGCCAAACCTGCAAACCTTTTCTCCATGTCCATTTAGAAGGCTTGAGTTTCACTTGTTTCATAAGTTCTGAAACTTATGCGGTTAGCCCTGGCTAATGTTCTTTCAGTCTGCAGATGGCACCATATAACAAGTAGGCTACTGGCAGAGCAGCAAACAGGTGTTTGCGCCAAAGCTGGGGAACAATATAGGCAAGGTGTGTCTCTTTTTCTAGAGAGAACTGGATACTGGATTCTTTCATCATTTTTATTTATTATGAACTATTATCTATTTCCCACTACCTTTGACCACTAGTCAATACCTTTACTTATGTGTACAAGAACAAGATCCAAATGTGCAAGAGTCTAATTACATTTTCATTGTGGAGTAGGTGACAAGGTATGGGTGCAGCACCTTCCATTGGGGGTGTATCCAGAAAACAGGTACTACAGTACGTTACTTAGATGTTACATTTAATTTTAACAACAGTTGTTCCATGGCTGCAGAAAGCATTATGAGCTTGGGAAAAGGTTAGCGAAAACATACAGAAAACAAGTCAGACCAACACATTTTCTGGAAGACAAGTGGCCCCTTTATTATCATTTTATTAGCACAATGTAAAAACTTGTTACATGACAGAATGAATGGCGATGGATCAAAGACAACAGAGAACTATGCTACATATATGGATTATATTCTTGGTTAGAGGCAAGAGAGAATATCAAAGGTATAGGTTTGATTTCAGCTTTGGTAGGGACACTATTAGTCTTCAATTTCATTGGACTAATGTCATTGGTCATATGCATGCTCTTTTTTTATGCTTAATGTGAACATCAGGCTTTAATGTGTTTAAAGAGAACAGCATAATTTCTTCCTAGATTAATACAAATCTTATAAGCACTACACTCACTAGATGCTGTTTATCAATGTTTGAAGCATCACTGGCTCTGATCAATGTGCAATTAGGACTTTTTCCCACTTTGAAAATGTTTGCATTTAAACTTACCAGCGACTAAGACAGAAGGTAAATACGTTTATTGAACCAAATATAGTCTAAATATGCATGTTATATGTTGAAGTATCATGTGTTTTCTTTTGAAGATGTATAACTGTGCAGAGGTAAACAGGTGAAACCCACTCTTATTCTAGGCTAAAACAGGCGAAAGCTTCTGACTGCAGTTCTATGAAGCAGGAAAGAGTTTGGATTTTTGGAACTTGAGAAATGAAAGTAACCAAAGTTAGGATTTCTTTTATAAAACAAAATATTCTGAGTAAGACAGGAGTTCTGAAAACTGCTGTCGTAATGAGCAAAGACCGTAATCTATCAACATTTCTGATTCCCTTTCACCAATATTTCTTTTCTATTACTGTTTTCTGACGGCAGTTCAGGTGTATATAAAAGCTGTTAATTTATTTTGTAGAACATAACAACACGAGAAGGATGCTGACGTTCTTCTATTTTTTTGTTTTCCACATAAAAATAGTTCTATTTAATTGATTCTACTTCTAGAAATAGGATAAAGACAAACAGAGGAACTCTATTTACACTGATTCTATTTTTCTCCACACGGTCCATAAGTAAATTAGTACAAACATTAATGTCTGGTAAATAAAGATTATCGAAAAAAGGTCACAGAAATGTGTAAGAATGTTATGTTATTATGTATTTGCTGTGTATTTTACTGTTTTCAGAACTAAATGAAAATCACTCAAAAACCTACTTTAAGGAGGTTTGACTCCTTTTTACTTGCAGCAATGAATATTTGAACATCAAAAGGACAAAATTAGACTGTTAATGTTAGACTTTTTTTTATATTCCCCCTGCAATTTTTCCGCTAATTGAAATGTCTTTAAATACACATTAACATGAATTCAACACACAATCAATGCACACATTCAGTGACACAGAGGAAGTCTTTCAAGCTGGGCACCATTTCATTCACAACACCTGTCCCATCAACCAGGAATCAGAATCAGAAATACTTTAATAATCCCAGGCCGAAATTACTTTTGTTGCATGACTCCATATGTAATAGAAGGACTATAGGAGCAGTTTTATATAACACAATTTCATACTATATATATATAATTAGGGGGTCCCCGCTCCATCTCATCATCATTTATTCTATTCTCTGAGATACAGGAAGCCAGTGTAAGGACTCTAGAACTGGGGTGATGTGCTTTACTTTCTAAGTCTTAGTGAGGACACGGGCAGCAGTGTTCTGGATCAGCTGCAGCTGTCTGATCCACTTTTTAGGCAGACCTGTGAAAACACTGTTGCAGTAATCAATTTGACTAAAAATAAACGCATGGATTAGTTTTTCCAGATCATGCTGAGACATTAGTCCTTTAATCCTGGAAATGTTCTTCAGGTGATAGAAAGTCGACCTTGTAATTGTCTTTAAATGCTTTTGGAGGTTCAAGGCTGAATCTAGCACTACACCTAGATTTCGGGCCTGATCAGTGGTTACTAGCTGAGTTTTGTTTTTATTCAGTTGAAGAAAATGATGGCACATCCAGGCATTAATTTCTTCTAAGCATTTCCTCAGTGCTTGAACTGGTTCATAATAACCTGGTGACATGGTGATGTAAAGCTGTGTGTCGTCTGCATAGTTATGGTAG